ATAACCATCCAGAACGAGTTCTGCGATCAGCTGAAGATCTAATTCTAGCACCACATGCGTACAAAACTAAATATTATAAGAACTCCTTTACAGTTAAGGCCATCTGCTTGTGGAATGAACTTCCTCAGCAAATTCGTCGTTCGAAGACGCTAGACAAGTTTAAAATTGACGTAAAACAACATTATCTATCGCTTTGTAATCCATAGTTTTTAATGGCAATATTCAGATTTAATTCTTCTCTCGTGTATTTATTTATATATATTATATATTTATTTATGTTTATGTATGTTTATTATAATTTTGTTTATCTTATTATATTTAAGTCTATTTTGGTATTAAGTAAGTTTATTGAGCACACCACCTCCCACTATTCATTAGTTTATTTTTCCTCGTCCTAAGGTTGTCTGGAAGAGATCGCTTTTTAGCGATAAGACCGCCTTATTGTACCTAGCTTTTAAGACTTATTTCATACTAATTGTATCAAATTCTTTGTGGTGTACAATAAAGTATATAATAATAATAATAATAATATATATTAATAATTATATATATTAATAATTATATTAATAAATATATTATTATTTATTAATTTAAATATAAATATCAAAGAAAAAAAACTGCATAAATAAAAAATAAATAAATAATTATAATTGCATAAGTTGATAAAAGATGCTATGCAATGCTTTTATGCTTTACCGCGGCCGTCCCCGAGTGCCACAGTTGATTTTTATTTATAAGTTGTTGTCGAATTTAAGTCTTGTGTACAAGACAACGTCTCCCGGGTCCGGTATATGTGAATCTTTGTCTCATGTCTCTGAATGTGTGAATCGGTCAGTTGTAGTTGTATAGGCAGTTACAAATTTTGTCTTTTTTTATTTAATTAGTTTGTTTGAAATTTTTTAGCTATGGACTTTTTAGCTATGGATTTTTTAACGTTTCATGTTTTTTTTATGATTATTGGCAGGTAGCGTGTGTTAATTTATTGTCGCGATCGTAACGACACGCTATATATTCTCTTCCGCGGGGTAATTAGGAGACTGGTCGTTAAAGCTGGCACATATACGAAATAAGTGTTATAGTCCCGCTATAACGTAATTGAAAACGGTTGAAAGCGTGCACAGTCAACGTGAATCGTCAACGCGTTTCCAACACTAGAGGTAATACGATGAAGCGCGCTTATCACTGCATTGAACGGATTAAGCTGGATGCATACGACTACACACATGTTCATATATTGTGCTATTAAGATTCATCATTTGAATCACTTTTCGGTATTTTAACCGACTTCAACAAAGGAGGAGGTTTTTCAATTCGACCGTATATATTTTTATTTCTTTTATCTGTGTTCGGGGATCACTTCGTCATTCATGAACCGATTTTGATGATTCTTTTTTTGTTGGAAAGGAGATATCCCAAGAATGCCATGATAAGGAAACCCAGATCTGATGATGGCATCCCAGAGAAATCGAGGGCAATCCTCAAATGTTATAGGTGTTGACAATGCTTTAAGTTTCCTGTTTGAAGCCGGTTTTTTTTTGTTCTAAGTTATAATTATATTGAATTTTTTTGAATTCATTAAAAACATATTACAATATAATATTCCGATTTAGGTTTCCTCAAGATGCTGTCCTTCACTGATGCCGGCACCGGGATTTGAACTGGGTTTGCTATATTGAATTTATATTAGAGTATATTGAATCAATGCGAGCGCCCGGACGAGCACTGAACTATCGCGGCCTCACAGGTAAATTACCGTAAATAACCAAACTGGGTTAGTGACACACCACGTCCACGGACGCTAGGACGATTCTAAACCTGGACGATCGATGTGACGAGTCAATTATTCAGGGCCGCTTGTAATACGCTGCAGGAAATAGAAGGAATCGCTTACGCCTCGCGCTACCGGAAACGGAAATGGGTTTGTTTCTGTTTTTTTCTTCGTATCGCTCTTTTTATTGTTGAGATAGGCAAAATAGCGTCGATCATTAGCTAATTCATGGATTTTGGTAAGGTAAAATTAATAAATCAAATAATAAATCAAAGTAAAAAAATTAATAAATCAAAGCCAAAATAAATAATAAATAAAAATAACACAAACATTTCAATTCTGTTTCGAACTAAGTGAATATTCCTAGAAAATAATCGATATTTAAACGTTTTAGTAAAGTATTTTTTTTTTGCTATCTTGTGCTTCTTTATCTTTACTATAAATAACAAAACAATATTATACTTTTAGGACTTCTTAGCTATTATAAGTTTCATCATAAGATACTTTGTTTATAAACATCGTAGAAGAAGTGTTTAAACCCAAACAAAACGCCAACCTAGCTGAAAATAAATACAGATAAAAAAAAACTTTGTTTACATACATTGTACATATTAGATCGATTACCTTTCAAGCCCCTTGACTCAGAGTCGTAAATAGCATTAACGTACCTCGAGTACTAATACTATTACAAACAGAACTTCATTCATACTCCGTACACAGTAAAAACACAGTAGGTTCTTAACCTTGGTGTTACATTTTATATATATGTAAATGTTTTTTAGTACAGCTTTCGGTGTCACTTTCAAAGTATTTTGTTTCCTTAATTATTTCTCATCCTATCATACTCTATTTTTTTTTTGTATAACTAATGTTACGCTTTCAGTCCTTAGACTATTAAAGCTTCATCGAACGCAACCCTATTATGTTTTGTTGTATTATTGTTTGTTGGATTATTGTTTCCTTATACATTAACAAAAAGTTTTATCTGTATTCTACATCATGCTATATACATTATTGCACAACAAAAATCAAAAACTTAATATAGTAGTGATAGATAGATAGGTACAGTGGGCGGCCTTGTTACTAAAAGTAATTTCTTCCAGATAACCTTTGAATGAACTAAAAAGATGTAGTACCAATTAATACTACATACATAGAAGCATAGCTATATAGTAGTGTACTAGTAAGCGTACAAGAAACGATGAGAATATAGGCAAATAGCCGTTTCACGCAGATGCAACTATTATTGAACTGAGAGTACGCCTTAGGCCGTGTTTAGACAAACGAGATAAACGCAGGATGGGTTATCCAATGGACAAATGGAACGATCTGCCCTATGCTGCTGGTAGCTAGTAACTGGATTGGCGTAGCCGAAGTGGCATACCTTAGAAGATATTCATGTCCAGTGGACTGAAGACCTATATCCAACACTAAACTGCCACACGCTGATGATGAAGATGATGGAAATCTTAAGCCGTATTCGAAGCCACCACCACAAATCGGGCAAGACATTCAAGACATTGGACATTGGGACGGTAACTGTTAAAAATGAAACGTAACTTAAAATAATGAATTATCTAAAACCGCATATTCTAAAAGAGAGGGTGACCGAAGAGGAAATGGAAGCCTGTTTTAGTCTAAAGCAACAATTAACCAAAATAAGTAATAGACAGACTAAAAAATAATGAGTATAAATCGATGACTAAAATTAACAATACTGCTAACACCGCGAGATCTCTCTTACATGTTATAACATTCTTCATTTTTTTGCATTTGAGTGCAGTAAATTCTTATAACTTAAATTTTGTTTTCTATTATCCGCCTTTTCTGAAATCCGTTAATTTTCACAGCGAATTTCTTCGTAATAATAATAATAAAATATCTTTATTCACATAGACGCTTGCGCGTTATTATAAAACGTCAAAATTTTACAAAGAAATTAACACGTATTAGGACCTAACCAGCTTCGGTCGTAGTAAAACGATGACGCAAATAAGCAACTATAAATTGATCTTAATTGACAGTGGACAGGGACCATTATATAAATCTTACACTTCTGCCAGAAACAAACTACGGATCCTGCAGGAGATATGATTTTTAGTCGAAATATAGAACCACATTTTAGCTTACTCAACCTTTTTAAATTAATTTATCTCATCGAAAATCATGTGATTCATTTCGGTTTAACACTAACTGTTTATTAACAATCAGCATGGATATTGGGTCATGAATAATATGTGTATTTATTACATTACATTACCTTCCAGGAATAATATTTTAAGAATGTAAGTTTAATGTCAAGATTTTCTCTGAATTCTACAAATCTACAACTTTCTTTAAGCTAAAGAAACAAAAAGGATTGGAAATAAATAATGTATTGAAGAGTAGAACGTATTAAATCGTACTATTTCATTAATTTAATTTAAAACATATATTGTTTACTATTAATATTGCATTACAGGGGTAATAAACTGTAGCTGATAACAACAAGTAATTGGTGAGTTGTCCGTAGTAGATTTGGTAATGGCGAAATAACGCCTTTTTCGTTAAAACTACCTAAATCAATAATCATGTTGTAGAAATATATAAATGTTAACCAGCCTTATGTTTTCTTTGTCCGAGACATTTCAAGAAGACTAATCAACCGATACCAATCTCAATATAAAAATTGTAATTTTATCTTATTTTTAAAAAAAAGTAATTGAATACTAAGAAACTATGGTTTTCGAAAGAGTTATTTTCCAAGGTTATTTGTGTGGGAATGGTGCAAAATTTACTGTGACTTAATAAACACGATATACGATAATCTCTAACAATATTATATGACATCCTTATCGTTTTAAAAGCTAACCATTAGAGAATGATTTAGAGAACTTGCAACCCAAAGCCAAAGTAACCTAGTGTGTTGCAGTCTAGTTATTTATAGCGCCGTTAGCTTTAAACTACATAATCCTAATGTTCTATTTTATGACACTGCAGCAAAAGAGGATCTTGGTTTATGTTGTGTTATTATTTCAACAAACTTATAACTGGTTTTATTAATACAATGTGATTTTAACCAGAAAGCACTATTCGTTTTTATATTTAGTTGCATAAATTCATGGAAATAAAATTAACTGATGAACCATGAACATTGCATTCTGTAAGAAATAGTAAGAATCTATCTTTCGTTCTATATATGTACGTGTAATGAAAGCTTGCGTGTAGAAAACATCATTACTTCACATCACTACAAAAGGTCCGTGTAATCGTTCGAGCAGCTCCAATAGTGATGTATGTTACCTGACGCTGTGACGGTTGCGACGGTTATCGACGCGGTGCTCGACGTCGAGGTCTCGCTGTTAGCGTTCGACGCATTCGACATTTCCACGATGCGGTCGACGGCAATCCGGTTGGCCGGCAGGGCGGCGGGGCTCCCGGCCGGCTCCTGGCTGGCGTCCGCCTCCGTCTCCTCCGCGGCGGGGCTGGCCGCCGTCTGGCTCAAGTCGTTCGCCACTATCACGTTGACCGTCGTCAGCGACTCCATGTCGGAGTTCCTGCCGGCTTGCGAGTTGTCTATGTACACGGCGGCGGAGCGCGCGCCCAGCGTCTCCATCACGCTCTCCGCCAGCGAGCGGGTGGACATTTCATCGATATCGATGTCCTGTTTTATGTCGATGATGATCTGGTGCCGCTTCGTCCCGCTGCCCGAGGGGCTCTGCACTTGGTGCACGCTGACCTGCGCCTCCGCGCCCGGCTGCGACATGTGGTGCTGGATTACGTGCGTCAGCTGTCCCTCCAGCGTGTTGTCCCGGTTGCCCGCCATATTGCTCTCCGACGCTGTGATTAGTTTAAATCGCGCGCTATCGATACCGACGCACAACACTACGTATACTCTCCGAAGCGAAGACACTTGAAGCGATCAGACTTATGAATTTCAGTCGGTTGAAATTAAAAATATTGCACGACTAGAGAGGCGCTAATATAAATACACACGGGATATCTTTTACGAACTAATGAACACGGGTATCACACTCCTTAGGGCTTATGTTATAATCCTTTGAACACACTCCGCTGGTTACCGTCCCTTGGTTCCGTATATCATTTGTTTAGGCTGGCCACTGCAGGACTGCAACGCGCAGATGCACCGAAACTGGGTCAGGGGTCAACATCCTACCGAAAATGGTTTTTTGATATCGTGCGTCGATTCTTTGTGCGTTTCGTTTAGCCGGAAATTCGTATGGCAGTGTTCGTTCCGTCCGAGGCACGATTCGTTCTCACATCGTCGCTACGTCATCGGCCAGGCGTCGTCACAGTCCGTTGTATTATTTGTTGTTGTGTTTGGTGAGTCTGTGCGCGCTAGAGACACATTGACACGGTGTCCTATATTTTGAGAACGCGGACCGTTGAGGCGGCGGGTAGCCGTCGTAGCCACTGCAAGGCCTACGAAAGCGTAGAGCTACGCCGCCGCACAACGTAGGCCGAACGCGACACACTTCCGTGAACTGGTCCGAAGATTTTTCTTAAGATTTTTGCACAGATTCTCATTCTTAATTGTTTTTTACGATTAACTCATTTTAGAGAACATAGATAAATTTTTAGCGTATTCCAGTATGGTAAAATAGTTCTTAATTTATTAAATATTATATAAAATTAACACAGTAAGAGCAAAAAACTGTTTTCACGTTCAACTTTTGAAATAACTTTTAGCAGTCTTAAATAATTTACTGCAAAATATACCAATGAAGTGAATTCGTAAAACATAATTTCAATCAAACATTAACTTGTATGCTCGACTGTTATATTGTTACCAGGCAATATCCGTGTCGAGAACGTATAACCCCACTATTTCAGTAAAAGCACCGCCCTATCCGCGGATAAGTCCGCTGGTTCCTCCACCGTGTGGAGTGGGTCACATTCGGCGACACGTGCCTACGCATGCGCACGGTACCGGCGACCGCGCTCTCCCTCCGCCGCCGTACCTCCGTCCCTCTCTGTACGCTTCGATCGTCTCACAATGACGAAAAAGCATATAATCGAATTTATGCTAGTCCCCGGGCCCGGTGTATACGTAGCGTCGGCAGAAACGCACGCCTTTTTCCACGGGCGGCCTTGGACTAATTTCGGAAAGGCGAGCCCCTTTACAATGCGCCGCGTTCAGGAACCGTCGACCGACCGTACCCAGATTTTTGTCTAAAATCTGACGCTTTCATTATGCGTTTCTCTCTTACTGCTTTTCTTTTCGTGAAATTCTCAAGACTTGTCTAACTCATGAATATAAAACTATTTCACGGTACGATAGATAAAACTATTTATCGATAATTTAATCCATGAATGGTAAAGGGAGTAATATTTTTTCTGATATCATGTTTAAATTTAGAATGGTAAAAATTACGGACGAATACAATAATATGTTTAGATACGTTTTCAGAATATTATTAGTTTATAATAATTATTAATATTTAAGCTACCTGAAATAGCAAAAGTGTCGTATAAGATACTTTAAACGGCAGAAAAATAGGAACATAAAACAAAACATAAAACGATGGATAAATTAGTTGAAAGAGTTTTGTGCCGACCATACCCGAATTTTCATTACGTAACACAGTATGATCTAACGTCCCGAAATAAGGAAACCCCATGTAAACAACGTCTAAGTCAATAACTTATCCTTTTTTGCATAAAAAAAAGTTGTGTGCCACATACAAGCGTCATTAAATCAAATACAAAAAAAAGATCACAAAAAAAAAGTTAACTAATCTCCGTGAATATTTAAAATTATATGTTTATAAACCAACGACAAAACATAAGCTCGTTTATATGTGTGTAACTGAAAAAAAGGAGGGCGCTGCGCAGATTTGTAAAACTCTGTTTATTAATAAGTGAAGTAAGAGTTTTGTATCCCTTTTTAAGGACATTGCGTGCACTGCGACAATTGCGAGATTAGGCATGATTAAAGCTTATTTATATAAAAAGAAAGCTAAAATCATAATAAGACCTAAAACTTTCCCCGGACGCGGCTGTCTATTCAAACAACAAAATTCAAACGCCCATAGTTATCATAATTGGTAGGAAAGAAGGTTACGGGCGGACTCTACCACACTTTTTCTGTAAGCATCATGAATTACATGTGTGACTCTATATTTCGAATGAAATATCTACAAAAAATTACTGAAGCCTGAAGACCAGCTGAGCGTTTCTTCATCTGAAGTTGCCGCATAAATTAATGATTTAATTATATTAATACTATAATAATAACATCTTCATTTATCATTTCAGCGGTTTTACAAAATTTGGAAAAAGAAAAGTAATACAATACGACTGCTTAATATTACTTACTAGCTGTTTCCCGCGACTACGTCGGCGTGGAATAAGTTTAAAGTGTAAAATTACACACTTCACAGACAGATACGAACAGAATATATGTACAATAAAATATCACTTTATATACAGAGATGTTATCTCTTTTATATATCTCGCCCTATAACTCTTATTGTGATACCCTATTTCATTTTTTCATAAATATATCCAATTTACTGACACACTGATTATACCCTTTTATTATAGTGTAGATTAAGCGGGTTCTAGTCTCCTGGCGAAAAAATATACCAACCTGTATTAATGAGATAAATTAATTTAAAAAGCAATAAATTTTAAAGTATATTAAATCGCAACATTTGCTTTTGAGTCTAAACACTTGACGTATAAGAATTTTGTTACAATTTTTCAAATAACGATGGAACACGTAATATCACAAGTAATTATCAAGTAAAAAAAAAAACATGATTAACACGCCAATTTCAGTTAGGTTCTTAACAAAGACAGCAATAAAAATTCTGTCAAACAAAAGCACTAATGAAGAAATGCCGGCCCATTTTGAGAGGTCACATAACATTGTATCATTATTGCATGCCACGCGAGCAGAAATGAATAGAGAAATATTTTTCTGTATTTTTCTGGTATTATTATTGTACTTATATATATGTACAAGATATATTATATAATATATCTTGTACATATATATATGTACAAGTTATATTATTGTAAAGTTTCATTAAAATCCATTCAGTAGTATTTGTGTGAAAGAGTAACAAAAATCCATCCATACATACAAACTTTCGCCTTTATAATATTAGTAAGGAAGTAAGGATGTTTTGACGCGTCACTGCCAGTTGTCAAATGTTTACCCCACTAGTAAAAGAACCCACATATTAAAATATGCAACACTAGCGACCCGCCCCGGCTTCGCACGGGTGCAATGTATCATTCTTACTGAATCACTCTATATTAAAAAAAAACGCATCAAGATCCGTTGGGTAGTTTTAAAGATCTAAGCATACATATGGACAGACAGACAGCGTGCCTTTGTTTTAAACTATGTAGTGAAGTGGTAATTATTTATAGATCTACATTTAAGTAGTTGGTATTTTAAATAAGACAGACAGCGGTACGACTTTGTTTTATACTATATAGTGATGTTTTGACGCGTCACTGCAAGCTGTCGAACCCTCAATTTACCCCACTATTTAAAGAAGATATCCTCTATTAAACCTGTTTCTTGAGCCACTGGTCGTGGGTTTGAATCCCACTACAGGAAAAATATTGTGTGATGAACATTGTGTTTTTTTAGTGTATGAAACACTCATAAACTAAAAAAACACAATGTTCATGTATATCTATAACATGTATTTATTTACAAAAGAAAAGTATATAATTATGTAGAAAAAGTTTTTCATCTTAAGTGCAGAGATTGTAAAAAAAAGAAAAGTAAGTATTGTATGTTTATCAGTTACATAAGTCTTGGTCTAGTCTTAAACAAGATAATGTTATGTAAAAATATGAGTGAAGTATCTGCGTTTAGTAACAGATATGAGAACGAGGAACGAACGTAAAAATAAGTTTTAAAAAATGCAACACATGTTATTGTTAAACTAACTTTAGAAATGGTATGTCATAATCTATGTTAATTGTTCTACTAAAATGATCGTATTTTTTCTTATCCTTCTATGACTTTTACGAGGCGCTGATATTCGAATCATTGCAAATAAAAATAAATCATTTGCGATAACATATTTTTACATTCGCGGTTTATTCTTATTTTAAATCATCCGCAGTTTCGAATGCTTTACAGCATTTGTGGTTACGGTCTGGACCAATGCGCCTCGATAAAATCTTTAAATTAGTTTTATTAAAATGTATAATATTCGCGTAAATAAAAGAAGTTATTCATATCGCGATCAGTTCGAACGGATTGCATATGAATTTGAATTTCAAATTGGAACTGTTTGAATACCAACTAGTTCGAAATCCAAACTGTTCCAATTTCGAATTTACAGGGAACGAAGAGCTAATGGCGCGTACGTACAGCTGTTCCGGCCGCAGTGGGCGGGACACTACACTATGCGGCGTTTCCCAAGGACGGCCCGGACTATGTAAGCTCGGCGAACACATATTTACATGGTTTGTCATTTGTTTTCAGAAAAACGATTTTAGAACGATCTAGACGTTCATTGTAATGATTCCTTCTGCGTGTTTATGAACACGTTGTTAAAGACATATTTAACTCCCTCGTTTTATTTTGCTTTTAAATTTCTGGTCATATAATATGCTAGACGTGAGGTTATAGTTAACATAATACTTGTGAAATTTTGAGTGTTTGAAAACAAATTGAAGGCGATAGAAGGCGGGTCATATTTTTTGCAAAAAATGTGTCACAAACATTTGTATTTAATGATTATGCGACGCATTTTCAACGTTTTGTAACGAAACCACATTAAGGGAATACGAAATGTTGAAAATTCCGTCCATCCATAGTAAAAACTCGAA